CTGTACCATCTTGTTGTGGCATCTGTTGGTCCCAACAGATTGCTGATATCGCTTCCACCTGTCTTCAGTGTGATAATCCATTCTCTGTCTCCACTGTGTGTGTGTTTCCACCTGCTATAAATGGGAGCGATCTCCCTGGATCGGCACCATTTTCCTTCTTGACCTCGGTCGTTCCACTTCCCTCCTTCTGTCTTGTTCTGTCCTGTTCCTTCGCCTTGCTTCAATCCATGTGTTTGAACCTCAGAGCTGAAAGCCAAGCTGTGCAACCCCGACATCAAAATCACTACGTCACGCAAAACAACACAAGAGAACAAGACACATTCACCGGCTTCTATCATGCCGAGAAGTACAAGCGCAAAAATCACGCCCATAGAAACAAAAATCATAAAAAACGACCAAGTATATTAAGAGATACAGCCATTTCAAACACTAGACACCCAAAAACGGCAGTCAAGCATCACAAATATAAGCCATCACAGCACGATCACACAAAAAACACCACGGCACGCTCACATACAATAAGGCACAACGCCGGATTGAGAAAAGAACCGACCACAGAAGAACAAGACATCATACAACGGACTTTACAAAAATTCAGGAAAAATACCACACAAATACGGTAAAAATTAAAGCAAAATTAAAACAAAAATACAAGTCAAGCCATGAAAAGATCACAACGAGAACCACCTAGGGAGGGACAGGTGCACACAGGGATCCCCACAGAGGGACCCCCGAGGCGGTGCCTACCTACGACGAGCGCAGGCAGACACCGCCAAAGTGGCGCTGGATGTGGTCAGCGTTCATCTGATGGACCAGCGCCGCAAAGCGACTTTTCCACCGAGGAACAAAGGCCTCGTCCAGCCCCGGCTGGTACACACCACGGGCCTCGGCGCAGCGGGCGAGCTGACCAAGCAGATCCACAAAGGAGGAGGCGAACCCACCGGTTGTCGTCATCGCCGCAGGGACGATCAGAGTTTTTCCATGGTTGAAACCGGTGTAGTAGTCGCGCTTCTCCTTTTCGGCTCGGCGAAGGGCAGCGCCCACCTTGATGCAGGCTTGCGAGATGGTCGGGGGTTGGGCTGTGCGCACAGTCACGTCAATGCCCAGGTCGGGCAGAGCTGGGCCCAGAGCACCGCCGGGAAAGGGGTTGCGGCAGTGCAGGTCGATGCGGCAGCTCTGACCGTTGGCGTTGTAGCCAGACTTTTCCACCCAGACATGGGAGAGGGTGGCGTACCTGAGCAGGCGGCCCATCTCGTCGCGAAGGGCGTTGTGACGCTTGATGGGACGGCAGGTCAGCAGGTGCTCGCGGGTCAGTCGCGGCTGAGGTGTCTTGTTGCTGCAGAGCGGGCACTTGTCCGTCGGATCTCTGGTTATACTTGGTCTTTTTGTACGATTTTTGTTTCTATGTGCGTGATTCTTCGCGCTTGTACTCCTCGGCATGATAGGAGCCGATGAAATTGTCTTGTTCTCTTGTGTTGTTTTGCGTGCCGTCGTGATTTTGATGTCGGGGTTGCACAGCTTTGCTTTCGGCTCTGAGGTTCAAACACCTAATTTATTATTACGTTGATGAGTTCATGGAGGCCAAAACCCATCATGGACACGACCGCAATGGCAAAGGTCGTGTCGCTCAAGCGACGCAACTTGTCCCGACCCCGCATGGTCAAGACAGTGCTGACGCCCCACTCACGTGAGGCCAGATATGCCTGCTGCAGGTCCAGCGCGCACTTGGCCATCAGGTCGTCCAGTGCCGCCTTGGAGCGGAGGGCAACGATCTCAGCTGGTCGCTGAGTCGCTGCGTCCTTGACCGTGGCCATCTGGAAGCCAGCTTGCTGCACGCGGACCTCAAAGTCGGCAGCCCTCGATGCATCCTCCAAGAGCCGATCGTAGACCCGAGGGTAGTGAGTGGCCAGCTTGGCCATGTTGCACCGGACCGCGCTCAACCAAGTCGTGCAGGCCAAAGCCCCCAGTGTTGGCCCGCGTGAAGATGTGAGCCTCCAGGAGCTGTTTCTGACCTTTAAAATCTGAGCTGAAACGAAGCTTGCTTTGCCACTACCCGAAGCGTCTCCTCGCCAAGGAACCACTTTAAGACAAGCGTCACTTTGGACACTGCTCCTACATGTACAGTGGGGGTAACTTGTTGTCTCGGGAAACTATTTCTTGTGGTTTTGGGTTTGAGCCAAACAAATTCATGGCCAAACCGTTCCTTCGAAATGGCAGCAGGACCTGACCTTGCACATGGTATACCTCATCACAGCTTCGTGTTAGAAGGTGTTGCAGCTGCACAGTGCGATAATACATGACTCTTGGACCATGGCGCTCAAGAGGTGCCATTTTTTTCGTTTCTATCTCGAGTTACGGCGCTGCCATTTTGTGGCTTGTTCGCATGGAAGGCTCTTCTCGCCCTCTCGCCGATGATGGAGCCCAGGCCTTCGACATGTATCAATGGCGGGTACACACGTGAACACAAGGTACCTAGCATTGGCATCTGACCGATGGACAAACTATTTTGCAAGAAAGCTTGGACGAGGGAGAGATCAACACCGATGAAGGGCTGGGTTTTCGATTGCCTCTCATCTCAAATCTTTCTGTACAGGCGCAGCGTCGTGTGCAAGCCACGCATGCTCTGGAGATGTACGAGCTAGTTCGCCGTGGTACTGCCACAGAGACTGCTGTCAGGGACAAGGCTCGAAAGGATGGCATTGGGCGCATTTCTCGGTCCCAACTGAAGCTTCTTTGCCCTACCAGACCTTCTCACGTGAAGATGGGGCATGTCACTGCCCCTGTACGGCGTTTCCCGCTGTGAATTCGAGGCTGCCCGCGGTCGACGCCGGAGAGGAGACGTCATCCATGATGGACGACAGCTCTGCACAAAGGCAGAACGTGTCATTCTTGCCAATTGGCTGTCGACAATGAGCGATTTGCGCAGCAGTCGAACCAGAAGTCAATCAACGCTAGCCATTTGTGAGATTCTACAAGTTCGCGAACGCGCGTTGCAAGACCAAACACGCCTCCAACCGGTTATTGCAGACAGCATTGCGCCTTTATCGGCACCAGAACGGAAGCTTCTGCGGCAAAAAGAGGCGTACGATCTATCTCCAGCTGAGGCTGTCCGCCCCACAATTAGTAAGCAGTGGTTTCGAGCCCTTGAGAAGGAGTTTGATTTGAAGCTCACCAAGGCTAAGGCTCAGACCGAGGCCAGAGCCTTGGCTTTGACTCAGACAACCTGCGAGGCGTATTTTACATGCCTGGAGGATGCTCTCTCCAGATTAGATTTTGTACATCAGTCTGGGCGCCATGTCGGATGTATCAAGGCATCATGTAAGTTGGCTGATCGTCGCTCCCAAGATAGCCTTTTTTTTGGCCCTCTTACGCCATGCGTTTGCCGTAGGCTTATCGCGCATTTGGGGTGTTGATGAGATGCCGGGCCTACGCACTGGACTTGGCACGACGCAGGTGTACACCTCAATGGCTCGACGCGAGGATGCCGGGGTTGTGCGAGGTCGAACACACAACGAGCCAGTCACCGCTGTTTTGGCAATTTGCATGGATGGTGACATGGCCCCACCCATGATGATACATGCGCGACGGGCCTTGAGTCCGCGAGCTATTGGTCCTGCCCAACTTCCGTCTACAGTTGCATCCGACGCGTCATTTGACCACTTCATGATTTGCAGCACCCATTCAGGCTATATCAATCGGCGCCTTTTTGTTGCCTTTTGTCGGCGGCTCAGGGCATACATTGGCGATCAAGAGCCATTGTTGCTGCTTTCAGACGGCCATACCACGCGCATCGACGCTGATGTTGTTGCATACCTTCGTACCATCAACATTTTTCTCCTTGTCATCCCACCCAACACCAGCCATGCCCTTGCGCCATCTGACCAATGGCATTGCTATATCCATCAGAAGCGGCGAGACCTGTGTTTGCACACAACCGGGGTTGTGTATGGGCATGCCCCAACGTTGGACGAAGAAATTCAGGCGCTCTACCGTGCCATCAATGTTCAACGCGAGTACCCAAGTCGGATTCAATCTGCATTTCGTCATGCTGGGTTGTCCAAAACCTCTCGAGGCACGGAACATATGTCAAACCAACCCAGGTTATCGCGTGCGCACTCGCCAAACCCACGGCGCCGTGTCACCACTGAAGGATCAACAACGCCCTCTCACATACGCCACGCAAGCCGTGAGATCGATGAGGACATGCCTCGAACGCCAACTCCTCCAAGTTCCGACTCGACACCCTTCAGCTCCAGCATGTCTACCCCGCGGAAGATTGCAAAAGCACGCAGCTTAAGCAAAAAAAAACCTCTGCGGTTTTTTTTAAGCAAAGCTTGCGAGCGACTTCAAGGCGTTGTTAGTCAGCTTCAACACGCGTTGGACAGCAGTCGTGTTGCATTGACCAACTTGCAAGTTGATCTGAGCCCGAGGCTTCAAATACCAACTCCTCGCCGAGGCTCTCGGCGGTCCCAGGTTTGGGGTGGCCTGTCTTGGGGTGACAGCGCACTTCGCCTCGAGCAGCAACAACAAGCCAGGAGGCATCAGGTTCGACGCAACCAGCGTCATGCAAGCGAGGCAGATCTATGCGGAGCTTTAGGGGTGCACAGGATCACAATATCGGCCCTCAAAGCCGCGTGTCGTGATCGTCGTTTATCCTCAACCGGGAGTCGCGCAGACCTCATCAGCCGTGTTCGAGGCTCATTGGGTCTCCAATCACCTGACACTGCGTTTTCACATGCAGAACAAGTGCAAGGCTTCACCGAGCAAGATCCTGTACGTGATACAGCTGCGTCATCGGCTTCCATACCCCCAACGATGGCCAGCACCCCTCTGACATCCTCTGATACGGGGGTGTCGCAAGAAACCGAGGATCCTGTCTTAGCTGACACAAATACAGCATCCACAATGCATTTATCAGTGAACCCAGATGAATGCGGATCGAATGAATACCATCTTGCTCACAACGCCCCTGCTGACTTTGCGTTCTGGCTTCGACCCATCCCTGCAAACACGTTACTATCATCACGTGAAGAGCAAGACCACAACCCGTCAACGCTTGCAGCAATGGAGATGGTCCAGCCGGATCCTCTTGAGATGCAACAAATTATTGAACGTCTTGACGACGGCTGCCGCCGTCATCGAGATCATATGGCTGCGTTGAAGCGCCCCCACACCTAAATTTGGTCCTACCAGCGCCTCGCTGCGAAAGTACGTCACGTTACAAATTCTATTGCAGCCTGTGGCAGCGTTCGCTTGAGCAGAGTTTCAACAGCACATAAGTTTGAGCAAGGTGCCCACATGCTCAATGTTTGAATTTTAAGAATGCAATACTCGTAGATGTCCTGTAGGGCGTCTGCCAATGTGACCCTGTGCCTCCGTGCCCGACCCAAAGGCGCCTGCTCCAAAATAGCCCTTCAAAGCGCTGAAATGCCTGAGACTGCTCTTGTTGAGTGATCAATAACTAAGGCCATGCCATCTCCGTGGGCTCTGCGCCATCAATTTTTCACTTGATATTGTTGTTCGCGCCCGACAAGCCTTGAAAGATAAAGACTTTGACCGTGCCTGCCCAAAAAGAAGTCGAAAAAAGAGCAAAATCCTCAAAATGAAAAACTGCAAGAAATAGTTTCCCGAGACAAAAAGTTGCCCCCACTGTACATCATCCACTTTGAATCTCCCATAGGACCTGTTTTTGCTGACAATTGACCTCAAAAGTCTTACAAATAAAAACAAACATTTATATAATAAAATAAGACCACCATTTACAACGGCGCGCGTGGTGTAGTGGTTATCACGTCGCTTTAACACAGCGAAGGTCATCAGTTCAATTCTGGTCGTGCGTATACTTTTTGGTTTTTCTGTTTCTGTTTCTTGTGTGTGAGGGGGTTTTTGGGTTGTGGGGGGGTTTTTTTTTTAACGGTTTTTTGTTCATGCGGTTGCTTGTGATGATGTGTTGGATCGATTTCTTTTGTTTCCTTAGTATCCTCATGCTCAACGAGAATTGGATTATCTTCAGCAGTCAAGATGCCATTTCTAGAGCTTGGACGAGGAGTTCTCGTCGCGTTGCAGGCACGACACTTTCTTCATTCGACCAAACCTCGTCCAAGCTTTTGATCGGCGTGGATGGGGCATAACAAAGCAAGTCGCGCCGAACAGCTGGCTCTAGAGATTCTACACGCTTGAGGGCGTGGTGGCGATGGTCTTGTGCGTGTGGATCGTCGTTTAGACTGGCCGTAAGATCGTCCATACCAAACCCAAAGTCACGAAACAAGAAGGCAGCCACATGATGCAAGCAGAGCCAGTAGAGAAGAGATTGAGCAGGCTACGTTCCCCGGAAAGCAGGCGGCGTGAGCAGGTGTGTGAACCTCAGATTCACACACAGCAGGCGTGTGAACCTCAGATTCACACACAGCAGCGATGGTGAAAAGAAAGACAAAGCTGATCGGCCGAGGAATAGGCCTGCCCATACCTGGACATTGAAAAGTTGACGCAACATGAGATCCACGATGCTGCGGTCTTTTTCGAGGGGCATCTGCGACAAAAAAGCGTGCAAGGTGAGCTTCTGCCGAAACGCCCAAGGCTTCAACATAACCACAGGCAAAGCAAAGCCAAGTCGGACGTTTACCTGAAAGTTGTGCAAAATAGGCATCAAATCTGAACCCGTGGTCTGTAAAACTTGAGCAATCGAGTCATGACACAACAAGGACTTGCGAAAGTCACTTGGCCACGGGTGGGCAAGTGGCAGCAACAAAAATTGCTGATGAATCTAAAGGTCCATGTCCAACCGAGCATGTGAGGCTGGGCTGCTTGCCCTCTCCACCCTCGGACCGACGCTTACAATTATAAAGATCAAACGAAGGAGCGACACTGAGGGATGTTAGACTAACCGTGTCTGAAGATCCGGAGAAAAGGATGTCTTCTAAAACTCGATCATGTGCACTGCTTGCTAGTTGGACGTACTGCAAGTCGAGTTCAGTCGCCGTTGCCACTGTTGCGCCAACTTCTCGACAATGTAGCGCAACAAAATTTAATAGGCGACTCATCGGCTATGGCATACAAAGAAGAGGATCAAGCCGTAAGAGCAGAGTCATCAGTTCATTAGCCAACGACTCAAAAGCATTTCCGGACAACGATTAAACAGTTTGAACAAGCCAGTGGCGCTTAAAGTGTGGTACCTTTTGCACGGAACCAAATGATGGAATAGGGTCACACAAGGTGTAGGCACGAAGTAGCTCTGAATACCAAAGATCAATGCCAATGCCCTTGACCAGGGCGCTCTGCAAAGCAGAAAACGATGAGACATTTGGCGCGCACGACTCAATGTTTGCGCATTTTACGAAACTGACCTGCACATCAAAGATATGTGCATAGAATTCCAAAATGGCACTTGTATCCAGCGCTACCTCCTGTGGCATTGCGAGAGGAATAGCAAATGTCAAGGCCCGACAGTGTATTGGCAACTCCGAGCATGTGAAAACCTCCTTGGTAACTCGCCTCCGCTGCACTAGAAGAGAGAGAATCTTGAACAGCATCAAGCGCTGTCTGGACGGAGCGCAAGGCGGCAAAAAACCACTCAGGGGCCAGTGGCAAACTATATCAAGCCCATTCAGCACACGGTGAGCTGCTCTGATCCAAGAGCCAATGCTGGCTTTGAAGCAGAAACGAGAAAGCATTTTTTGATGCCGCTGCGAAAGGAGAGGAAAGAGAGAAGGAAAGGAAAAAAAAAAAAAAAACAGCAATGGGCAGACAAACTATGCCAACTTACACCAGGCTGGACTCCGAGGTGGCAGTCAACTGATAGTCAATCAGACGAGTGTTCATGTTATCATCAGCAACCAAAAGTTTATCGTGCAAAAACTGCAACACCTTTCTCGCCCCTGGCGTGGTAATGTGTTGTTGCGTCTCATTCAACACATTGCGCACCATTGGCGCTGATGTTGAGCTGACAACGGTTACCAAGCGCAAAATCACGTCAAGCAGATCATCACTCTGCGCCATTGATGTCGTCGTGACTTGCAACCGGGTCCATAGAGCTAGCAATTCGTCCACGGGCTGAAGCTGAAAAACGGCCGACGGCCCATGTTCGGCAAAATCACCGACAAACTGTTGAATAAATGTCGTTACAGTCGGCATCTTGACCCAAGCTTGTAGCTCTGGGTGGTGCAGCAAGGTCCTAAAAGAAGCAAAAGCCGCATGGGCTGTGAGGCACACAAGCAGACAGACCTCGACTCGTTCAGGTATGAAAGGATTTGACCCTTGAGGGCAGTGTTTGCAAACAAAATTGGTATGCCATTCCTACTTATTGATGCCCGCCAGTTGAAGCACAAGCCTTTGTAGGGCCAGAAAAAAACTCAGTTGCTGCTGCGTTGCTCGAGGCGGCGGCTGTGAAACGGTGGGATTGCCCGCAAGTACCCCATGTGCGGGATTCTTTTCTGAAGGCCAGACAACCCGTCCAAGAGAGTTCCAGCACGAATGTCCTAAAATGGGTTCCACGTGGCGGGCAAACACATGGGCTGCATCGTCCACGAGCCGGATGGCGGCAGCCGGGGAACTGTGGAGATTGTGTTGATATGCTTTGAAATAAGACTGTGCAAGGTTGAGGGCTGCTGTGCAGACATCTGGTAGGTGCCACGCTTCAAGAAAAAGCTCACTCGACGTCAGCATGGCATCGATAGTAGTAGAGAGGCCGACCAAGTGTGACCAATCTAGTCGGGTCTCTGCGCTCAATGCCGGGCTCAGAGGATTTATAGTAGCTTCGCAAGCACTGGCTAATGCCCGCAAAGCAGCTATGGTCCACTCATGGCCGTCGGGCTATATGACAAAGAGCCGATGACCACACGAGATGTTGTGAGTCCTCTCACTGACTCCAAGACCAACAGTCGCTGTTAATAACGCGACAGCCTTCATGCATACCAGTTCAGCCAAAGCGTCACGAAGATGCATACACCAAGCCGGAAGCTGTGTGACAACATACTCCAGGAGAAGATGAAATCTGTCACAAAAGAGGTGCATGCGTGGGTCAGTTGGCTTGAATCGAATTTCCTTTCTCTTGGTGCCTTCTCATTTTGTTCCAGTGTCTCATTGCGGTGATCCGAGCACAGACCGTGCAAAGTCAGCCACGAGCAGAAGGCTTTCGGTAGCAAACATGTAGTCACTATCGCTGGACTCGGCTGTTTTGTTCGGGCGAATGGCAGCATAGCCTTTGATCAGGTGCAGGACGTCCAGTTGGACAACGTGTTCGGCATGGCGGCGTGAAGCGGCGCAAAGCCGCCTGAGAACGCGAACTGCCTATCGAGCCGATGGCGAGAATCTCTCATGGTGAGATGAATACGGGAATTCGAATTGAAATCCAAGCTACGCACGGGAGACGTACAAGAGGGAGTTTTTTGCGGGTGATGAGCGGTACAATGACTTCTGACAGCAATCGCGGGCAGTCAAAAACTGCCACGGCGCTAAAGTGATGGCCGGGGCGGCGAGGTGAGAGAAACGCTGATGCACAACGTTGAACACAAGCATACAAACAAAAGGGGAAGTTCATTGCTCTCCACGTTGTCCCAAATCACAGAATCGATCATTGCGAGGCGGGGCGTTGGGTTTTTCAACTACCATTGAGCGCTATGAAGACAGGCCACTTCGCAGATGTAGAGAAGATCAAGTTCCAGATCCTCTAATTGCATGACCTGCCACAGGCTGTGAGTTGCCGTGGAAACACCCTGCAAAACCAAGCCAGACGAGAAGCTGCACGCAAGGCGCTAGAACCTACTTCCACAAGATAACGCAAACGCGGGAGTAGCTTCATCTTATGAACGAGCAGACCAATTAGATCATGAGCCGAGTCTAGGACCGTTTGCTGCTGTTCGCTGACTGGGCCATCCTCGGACGGTGTGGCCGCTCTGACATGCACGCCATGAAGGCGATGGCCCAACGCCAATGTCGTTTCTAGTTGTGCGACGTGCTCGAGTACCTGCTGGCTGGCCAGCAGGGCTGAGATGCCCTATCGAAATAAAGCCAAACAGCTGTCAAGCCTGCCACGTATCTCGACTGGTGTCTTTGGAACATGTGTGCTTCAGTCCTGCGCTACGACCGGGCCATTTTGCGCACAAAATCTCGGACAGTGTGTTTTACATACCTTGGCTGCCAGCAAAGCAATTTGAGGTATTTGTTCATCCACCATCTTGCGCAGAAACAAGACGATGCCCATGTCGAGCAAAGCATCGGCGACAATTTGACTATCACCGAGGTCGTTCTGATCGTAGTCACGCCTCGCAATCCTAGCAACACCCGGACAAATGAACAGTCAGACAAGCAGCTTCGAGCAAGCTGTCGCTGTCTGTTGGGCCTCGACGCCAATGTCGACACGAACTTGCGAATAATTTGGCAGAGAACGCGCAAGGCCAAGGTTCTTTGTGCCAAGAGGCTGCTTTGAGCCAGATGAAACAACTCTAAGTCACGGAACAACAAGATGAGTTTGTTGGGTCAAGTGACGCCACAGGCCTTGCAAATACACGCTCGGATGTACCGGCAAGCGTGTAGCCGGGCAAAGCTTGATCATTGCCGTGATGATGAAGCCCTTGGGAAACAGGCCTATCCTCTCCAAGCGGGATGATGGCACCTTCAAAGTCAAAGCGCACCTAATTGCGGACCCACATTGGATTCGGTCAGGCAGTTGAACATGATTGCGGGGGAGGGGGAATAGCGCTGTTTGCTGAAGTCATAAGCAACAAGGCAGGCGATCCGACCTGGCGCTGGCGCATCGTGATGGAAGCGTCGCTGACTGCCGCATCAGCAGCTGGTAAATCGCCCTGGAGCCAAGCCATTTTGTCTGCCTCCAAAGCCGTTGTAGGGGGAACGGTCTCCTCGCCGGCAAAGACACGTTCGAGCTGGTGTGCACTCATGCTGCTAGGGTCAGGGGACGGGGGCACTTGGTGCATTTTTTTGGTTGACGAATCTTTGAGTGGAGGCCTGACGGGCCTTGCTTGCGTGTGTAGGCTCGAGACCGCAGGCTTTGCAGAGTCGGACTTGGACGCTCGCTGCTGTGCCCGCTGTTTTAGGAAAGCAATGTTTTCTGGGGTCAAAAGGCGTTGCACTTCCTGCATGGCCTCTTCACGTTCAGCTGCGGACATTTGGGCCGGATCCTTTGACGCCATGCTGGCGACAGGTAAGTCTGGGCGATCGCTTTTCGATGTGGGCTGAGACTCGAAGCGCACGCCAGTGCGTGGTGCAGGCGCATGCGTACGCGGTTGCCATTGTGGGTGGCTTCCATCAAAGGCACGAGCAAAAAGGCTTTTTCGACCTTTGGGAGTGGTGCCGTCTTTTCCAAAGCCGGGCTTGAGTTGAAGAGCGGCCTGCGGTGAGCTACTGTCAGCTGGTCGGGGGCCAGAAGGCTGGCGAAGTGACTGGCGCTCCATGACATCGGTCAGAATGGATCCTCCCAGCGGCATGGCGTGAATGGGTGCTTCAGAATGGTGGTCCTGTAGACTGGAGGTTGCCTCAGGTTGAGTCTCTTTGACATGTTGCTTGTTCTTGTGCAGCTGGCGCGGCGCCGTCTGGGCTGAGGCTTGCGGCGGCGCGTGTTGACGTGCTGTCAGCGCGCCACCGACCTGAGGCGGTGCCCGCAGCACAGCAGCAGCCGGTTGAACTTGCTGCTGCTGAAACTCTGCTTGCAGCCGCTCAAGATCATCATCTACAAACATGTGCCGCCCCAAAGTGAGTGAGACGCGAGCTCGCGGCATCCCGCCACGTGTGTCAGTGCTTGCGTGCGCGTGCAAGCCACCTCCTGTGGCAGCGTGCATGGAGCCCGGCCATGCCTTAAGAGCAGAACCATCATTGCCCCTCCCCAAAGCAGCCATCAGCGGTCAGCCCAAAGTGCCTCACCATCGAGCTCCGCCCGCAGATTGCGCACCGGGTGCGTCGCCATCTTGGCTCCCTGTCACGTCACACAGTAGAGTGAGAGTGAGAGTGAGTGTGAGTGTGAGTGTGTGAGAGAGAGAGAGAGTATGTGTGTAGAGGTTGAAAATAGAGGGACAAAATGACAAGAAAGAGAGAAGCGAGAGCAGTGAAAGAGAGAGAGAGACAGCAAGAAAGAGAGAAATAAAGAGCAAAGACACAAAGGAAAAGCACAACTACCAGAGAGAGAATTGGTTGGAGAGATGGGTTGATGAGCGTGAAGAGGGTCATCGCGATCATGAGCAACGGCACAGCTACCACATACATGAGATGAATGGAAGCAGATCATCTGTTCTTGAAATGAACAACCACTTGATTGCCCAACAATTGGGGCCGGTTTGCGTGAGCACTGTCGTGCGCGGTGACTGTTCTTCGATAGACTCGTGTGTGTGCTTCCCCATGGTATTGGTTCAGTACATGCGCAGAAAAGTTTCATGTGACACGGAATTTGGCTTTCTGAAGACAGGGGAGGCCGGTGTTGGAGAGACAGCTCGTGTGCGTAGATGTGCATGGCAGCCCCGGGGCTCTTAAAGTGAAATAAAATGCAACCAAACAACTGCTCTTGTTGAGGAGAGGTGGAAAGAGCTGAATTTGGTTCGGGCTTGGCCCTCGTTCGGACACGCAAAGGGCTCAAACATGCACATTGAGAGCGAGAATCTCGCGCACGAGCGAGATGACGCGGTCCGTGTTTTTCTCCTGCAGGATATCCAAAGAGCTCACGTCAGACACCGTGTTCAGCTGAAGACGCCGGCAGGCCTCGAGGAAGCCGTCAACATTCTTGCGTAGCTTCAGATTCGCCCCACTGAGAGCATCGTTCTCATTCATGTACACCTTTGGGACGCTATCCGGCCGTTTCAGGTTAATGAGCTGGCACAGAACCACGCCATCCGATAGCACATGCGGAAGGTCCATGGGGCACGTCAAACGCGGCAACAAGAATCCCAACGTCGTCTCCATCTCCTATGCAAGCACATTGCAAGTGCACGCCATTCATGTTCATCAACAAAGTGCGCATAGCTCCGCACACTAAAACGTGCACCGTCAAAGAAGGGAAGCCTGGTAGCCTAATACGTGATGCTCTCGCCCCACACGACCGTACCTCGACCGCAAAATGGTACAAGAGAGCCTCTTGGAGGGCTAATCGCGCCAGTCGCCGCAAAGTGTTTTTGCCAGCTCGCTCCACACGATCTACACGCGAGTCGAGACAAGAGATGGCAAACACAAATGGTGCGTAAATCAGCCAAGCTTGTCGCCTCGCCATCAACGCAAAACACTGTCATGATAACAGCTCGCGCGAACCAAGAATTCTTACTTCGTAGCAAAAAGCTTTTGATGCCCTGGCCACCAACTTGAATTGTGTTATCCTCCTCGTGCATGACCTCCATCAAATCAAAGGCCACCGTGTTGAGGGCCTCGGGACTGTTGCGCATTTCCTTCATGTCTTGCTCATGCAACTTGACAAGTCGTGCTCGGCGTCGAGCTCGCAGCATGTCCAGCTCACGACTCGATACAGTCGTATATGAAGGACCACTAGGTGTAAAGGGCTCTTTGCGCTGCGGCGTGGTCGTAGGCGCAGACTTGGGAGTAGCAGCAATATTACGTGACAGCGGTTGTACGCCACTTCGAGCAGGCGAGGCGGCCATTTCCTGTACGGGTCGTGTCGAGGTTGGTGCTGTGGCATTACCGATAGCAGACGCCGCCGCGACCGACGGCTGACTGCTATTTTTACGACGCGGAACCGGCAGCTCCTTGCTACCTGTTGCACCCTGCACAAGGCTTGGATATGCTGTTATACTGGGAGTGTAACGTGCTTGGTTGGATCGCGCATCAGCTGTTGTTCCTCCTGCTGCGGTACGAGCTGTCCCGCCTGTGCCAGTACGGGGTACAGGCAACGTGCGGCTCTGCAGTGCATGTCAGACAGAGGAATGAGAAGACACCCTGGCCAGTAGGGGAAAGGGATTCATATTATTGGCTGTGAAGGTCGAAGGCGTACCGTGGTATTCTCGACTCGAATATTGCTTGGCGTGCCACGCTGACGGGATTTGTCTCGAGACGCGCCTGTGCTCTGCTCTGCGAGTGCACGGCGCGCACGATCGGTCTGTTGTTGTTGTTGTTGTTGTTCTTGAACTGCTTGCTCCCGGGCCGCCTTTTGTTGCGCAAGCTGCTCAGCCCGTTCACGCTCGGCTCGTTCACGCTCAGCTCGTTCACGCTCAGCTCGTTCACGCTCAGCTCGTTCACGCTCGGCTCGTTCACGCTCGGCTCGTTCACGCTCGGCTCGTTCACGCTGCGCCTGGGCTTCTTGGGCGGCTTGAGCTCGGGCTGCTTGCTCCTGTGCCTCACGGTGGGCCACTTGACGTTGGCGCTCAGCCTCTGCTTCGGCCTGTTGTCGGGCGGTAGAGGCCGCCTGCTGCGCCTTCTCGGCTTCTGTGCGTCGGCGTGCCGTCTCTGCTTCCACTTGGCGCAGGCGTTCTTGCTCTATAAAAAAAAAAAGATAAGCCAAGTACATCAACGTGGTGCCACAGACTGAGGCAAATGCACAAAAGATGTTGCCGCATACCTCGCTCAAGCTGCCGTCGCTGCTGCTCGATGGCTTCGGCCTGTGCAGCTGCCTCCTTTTGCTGACGCGCACGCTCAGCTTGAAGTTCTTTTCGCTGTTCCTCAAAGCGTCGCATTTGCTCAGCAATGTCGGCTTGTTGTGCCTGAGCCAGTTCGCTCTGAGCAAGGCGTCGCGCCTCGAGCTCGCGTCGCTCGGCCTCGACCTGCTGTCGCAATTGTTCCGCTCGTTCCTGCTCTTGGACAGCGCGCAATTCGGCTGCGCGAAACTCGGCCGCTTTGGCGCCATTCTCAAGCATTTCGAGAGCCTGTTCAGCCTCTTGAGCATCACCTGTACTAGAGGCTGGTGGGGGGCTGTTGGCAGGGTCAAGATCAAAAAAGGGGTGCCGGGAACCTTCCAAAAGCACTGCCACGTCATCACCACCAGGTGTGGTAGACTGGTGCGTCTATGAAATGCAGCGGGGGCATGACAACCATGTCCAGTGAAACACCGATGGACAATCTGGGACAAAGCAGTTGGTGAGATGCAAAAAGAGGGGTGGCGCACCGAGCTCCGGGACGGAGATGCGCCGGTGCTGGCATTCGAGCGGCGCTCGTGCTCATCGTCGAGATATTTGAGCACGTGAACACGCCCGCGTGAGCAAATCTAGGATTCAAGTTTGAAAAGCCGTGAGCCCCGATGGACCGGGCCGGTGCAAAGCTTGGCCAAGCACGATGGATCTGCGCTTTCTGGCACAGGCTAGCTAGCAGGACAACCATACGTCGGCGGGTGGGCATTGGAGTGGGTTGTTGTCCAATTTCAGAGTTTGCAAGCCTTTTAGGCAGCGGATGGAAAGTGGGAGCGCAATGACATGGTTGTTTGAGATATCAAGACTGGTGAGCTGCTTCATGTCTCCCATGGCTAACGAAAAGGGTCAAGGTGCGAAGCAAAAGCAGGGTAAGAGCAGATGCAAAACAACGATGGAACAGCACAAGGCGCCGATAAGGGCAACGGGTAAGATGAAGTGTAAGCTTACCCTCTGGCAGCGTATCAATGCGGTTTCGGCTACAATTCAGCTCGCGCAGAGAGACAAGTTGGACGAGCTGGTCCGGAAGAAAATCAATCTGGTTATTACTCAGATCCTATCGATGGTGGAGGTGCGTATGAGTCCAGGACAAGGGCCCGCAGCAAGAAGCTGGGATAAGTTTATGAGCTATGGCCGCACCAGCACGACAAGGGAGTGGCAAAGGCCAATTTCCGGAGGAATGACTTGTAGCTTGTTCCCGCTCAGGAAGAGGTGCCGCAATGGCATGGAAAATAGCGAGGTGGGGATTTGAGCCAAATGGTTACGGCTGCCGTGGTGTGGTGCGGCAGCAGCCAAAGCATGAAGGGTTAGGGGGCGAGCTGGAGGGTTCAGGGCAGGCTAGGATAGGCAAATCAAGTCGATGTGTGCCTGACGTTCAAGGCGACACACCTGAAGTTGATGCGAGTGAGGATGGAGGTGATGCGCGCTACTTTCTCGATATCAGTGAGAGCATTGCGGGAACAGTCCAGAGCCTCCAACTCTTCAAAGTCGGACAGGTCCGGCAAGCGAACCAGTTTGTTGTTGCTCAAATCTATGTCACGCCAACGCCAGTCAAGAAGCCAGATCGCGCCAGACAAGACCCAGCCTCAGACTGCATCGGAACGATGGGCAACCACGGGTGGCTGGCGGAGTACGCACTGATTTCCAAGACTTCATAGTGGATAAGTTCATCAAGATCAAGGTTGCTTAGATTCGGAAAGGCGTGAAGCTTGGCATCTGAAAGGTCAAAGACTCCTGTTTCACCGGCCGCGGCCAGCTTTTCCTTGACCCGTGCCGTCGTGCTCATGGCGATCAGTCAGTCGGATCAGTTAGTTAGTTGGTCAGTCAGTTCGGAACCTAGTGACGAAGATCAATGTGCGCCCTTCAGCCAATTTCCTTTCGGTCGGGTCACGCCTCCGTCGTCGGCGTCGTCGGTAGGAAATGCACCCGCCTTGATGCACGTCCAGAAACCACAACCCACAGCACACCAAGGCCCCCTGCCAGATTCCGGCACAGCCGGCGGCGGATCACCACCAACAGCTCGAGTCGAATCGCTAAGAGAGAGAGAGAGAGGGAGAAGCGGACGGCCTCAAAGCTCGAGCGGTCACTGGAAGAGAATAGTCGATGGCATGAGCGTATGAGCAGAGGTTTGCTCAGATGGTGTATCAATTATCCCTATTTCCCCTTGAAGAAGCAAGCTTGTTGAGAGCGGCGTTGTGATGAATGTTGTCATGCAGAGAGAGTGAGTCGACAGAAGAGAATGTCTGTGAATAGAAACAACTACAGTTGTGTCAACTTTTTTGCTCGTTCAGATGACTGGCATCTGTGACCTCGGACTGTGGTGGACTGGGATGGGTGCTTTGGAGCGATGAAGGGGAGGTAAATCGGCAGGCAGGCCTCCGATAGGAGCCAGGGACAAAAGAGATTCACAGGGCAGGGCTTGTTTTTGCCTTTGCATCTGGGTGTGAATTAGAAAAGAGGAATAAGCAACAGAAAAACAAAAAAAAAAAAAAAAGAGGAAGAACGAGAGTTCCCAAAAGGGTTCATATGTCAAGGACTGGGCACAGTCGACAAAGACAATGCACCACTGATTACGAACAGGCAGGACGTGCAACGGGGAAGGCAACCCAAACGTTTCAAACGCATGTCATCGGGAATCCGACAGCCTTGGGACCAAAGTCAGCTTGCACGGTCGGCAGGACTTGCTCTATGAGCTAGCTGATTGATCGTGCGCGGCCAGCAAGGCGCGATAGCGGTCATCAAGGTTGTGGCGCTTTTCATTGGCCTGCTCGGTAAAATAGCTGGCAATGGCTTCGTCGACCCAGGGCTCTTGGAAGCGTTCCGTGCGGGACAATCGTGCCACAAGGCCGGGGCCTCCCTCCAGTAGCTGTGGCACACCAGTCGTGCAAGCAGGCAGGCCACACAAAGGTTGGTGAGACACGTGGACTCTGAGAGGAATAGAAAAGAGAACACACACACACACACACACACACACACACACACACACACACACACACACACACACACACACACACACACACACACACACACACACACACACACACAAGGTGAGAATGACGCACCTTTTCGTCCTCCCGCTGTGATGCCACCCAGCTTAAAATGTAAGTCTGCAAGCGATCGCAGAAGCAAGCGGGTGAGACGCATCCAGAAGCTCTGTGCATCGGTAAAACATGTAGGTACTGCAGACATACCTGTGGGTCTTCATGTAATGCTAGAAGCGTGTCACGTTTCTTTCTGCACTCGTCCAGAGCGGCTAGGTGCTCCTCCACTGTCATGTTGAGTTCGGTAATGCGCTTCTGCGTGCTCGGCGCCAGGAGAAAAGTCGTATCCATGGCCTCCAGACTCTGCAAGAGGACAGGAATTTCATCCAGTATGAGGGCAGAATCAGCGTGGGCTCGAAAACAAGGAGACAAGAGGGGCACGGACAGAAATCGAGCTGCAAGAACGACGAATGCACCTACCAAAGGGATGATGACGTCGAAGATCTGGACTTCGGTATGCTTGTCCCGGGCAAAAGTCACGGGAATACGGATGGGATCGACGGGCAGTAGCACGCGATCAAGCTCAATCGATAGCTCTTCAACCGCGAGCTTTTCCTTGGAGAAGATCTACGAGTGTCAGTCATGAGACCGAGAAAAGATAAAAGCACACACGAGGGGAAGGAGAAAGCGGGCAGCGAGGGAGCAGAAACGGGTGAGGTGAGCCTTTGGCGGAACATTGTACTGTCTCGCTCCGGTGGCAACCGCAGTGGCGTGGGACGCACGTGTTTGAGGTATTTATCACAGGTGATGAGCTCGTCCTTTTTGGGATCTATCAGCTTGTTCTGCATGATGTAGGCCCACAGCGTATGGGTGATGGTGCCTTTGGTGTCGGCGTATAGGCCCAAGATATTGGCAAGCATGGGTGGCAACTTGAAGCGAGGAGGGAGGTCGTTTTGCACGAGCAGTAGGGTAGCCAGTTTGGGGAGACGAGCTGTCCGGCGAATTTCAAATCCGTTGGCGGCAACGCTGCTGGGGGCTCGGGACCACTGTGTTGTTTGGCGTGGCGCGCCATCCTCAAACTCAATGTCCACAACCATTGTGCGCAGAAGGTCTGAAAAGGCCAGCTCGGACAAGCGCTGCGCAAGACGACCGTGGGCCGTATCCGTTCAAAAGGTAAGGAAAGCCGTGAGCACAGAAACGCATTGGGTTGTATCGGAGTCGCAGACACACGAATGCGGAAACGCACGGCTGTTTCCGTGTTGGTAGGTACAATTTCGCCTTCGACGCGCAGAGTCCAGTTGCATAGCTGGCGCGAGGGGTCAGTGTTTGAAATGAGCTGGCTGCGAGACCTAAAAAGTCGTCCCGTAACATGTGCAAATTCAGCCAAGGCACAGTAATGATCCTCTACCTCGGGGTCATCGAGCACCGGTGGCATATGGGGCTCCCAAAGGCGTGTCACGGTGACGCGTAGAGTACTAAACGGGCCGACGGAAAGCACGAGTGCGAAAAAGAAAAAGAAAAACGTTGTTGAGAGGGCAATCTGCTTGAAGTGACGAGGCGCGAGGATGGGGGCAGGATGTGTGCGAGCGTACGCGTTGGTGCGGGGTGGTCGGCGGAGTGCGTCTTGAATTTCCAGTCGCTTGCGGGTGATGGCGGCATCCAAGCGCCGTTCAAAATTGACAAGACGATTGAAGAGGAGGGAATCGGGTAGCAAGGCTTTGACCTAGTCGGATGAGGCACACAGGTGGTCAACTCGGATCCAACGGTCGGGGTCACGAGCGACGCGGGGAAGACGGAAAAGAACGGACCTCATCGTCCACGACCTCTTCGACGGCCTTGGCACGCACTCGGCGTCCACGCCCGTTTTCTGACTGTCCAAGTCGTGCCGCACCACCATGATGAGCGGAGGACGAGCGAGCTCGAGTGCCGCGAGACCTGTGCGCTGTTAGGGGGTTTCCAAAAACGTACTTTGCGTTTGACGTAACTCATGATGGCAATCTGGCGCCAGCAGCGCTCACACCTTCAAAAAAAAACAAGGGGAGGGGGTTGCCAGGGCAATTCCCAGCTGTTGGACACGTGTTGTGCCTTGAACAGCCAGAGCACAAGCCACTACTCGGGATGTGTCACCCCAACGAGCGCAGCTCAGCTCCAAAGAAATGGCTGTCGTATGACACTTGCTCGATGAAAGAAACGGAATCAAACGCGCCGGGGTCCGTCGTCGATTCAAAATCCAATTGACCTCGACCCCACTGCCAATCGTTCCAGCACCAAGGGGGTGTGTGTATGCGCACACACACACACACACACACACACACACACACACACACACGTCCAGCCGAGTCTGAGCTGAGTGTGCCCTGAGAGAGAGTCAATCGCCACCACCTCTCTCTAGTTCGCGTAACGGCAAAAACGAAAGAGACTGAGAGACTCGAGCGAGACCCGAAAGAGACTCAAGAGACTCACACACACACACAAAGGAAAGACACAGTGCTACCAACTGATACTCGAGCTGCAACAACATTGGGTAGCAAAAGAGTCTGACAACAACTGGAAAGGAGATGTCAGAAAAAATCCTCCGGCGATCCGTTCGTATGATGGCACATATGGGGACACGGGTACACGAGGCCATGGCGAGGTATCGAAGGGGAGCGCGCGGGGCGGGGCGGAGGGTGTGAGCAGGGAGGGGTGACACACACACACACACACACACACACACACACACACACACACACACACACACACACACACACACACACACAACAACAACACAACACAACACAAGGCGCTCCTCTTCGTATTCTCTCTCATCTATCTCGTCACCCTCTGACATTGTTGCGTGCAGACGGCGTGGAGTGCCATGGGCGGTGCACATTTTCTTCTGATCCATGCCCTTTCCGGCCGTGTGGCTATGTAAAGTCAGGTCTTTGCTACTTCTTTGACGTGCCAATTTTGACATGGTTCGAGGCAATACCAATTCTCCGGGCCATGGCTAAAGTAGAGCTGAGGTGATGGGGACACCAGCCAAGGGTGCGCTTGGCAGTTGAGAGCCGTTGGCTGCCTCAATGGAGAGCAGCAGAAAGATGGGTAGACTTTGGGGGAGACTTTGTTGTCGCATCATCTGTTCATCATTTAATTCACACGTCAATGCAATCAATGCAACAAGAAACGATCAAAGGGCAAGGCGAATCGAAGGACGGGGTCGTGTCTGATGGTTCACGGGCGGGCATGGCACACGGCAATGCGCTCCTCCCGACTAAATGGCACAAGGGTGAAACGGTGGAGAGGCACGTCATCTAAGAACAAAAAGGGACTCGCAGACGATATCAACAGGAGCGGTAGAGGCCTTCGTGAAGTGTCCGGCAATGGAAATGAGATGCGGGACATTCAGTCAGGAAATAGCGACGCAGTGCTGCATCGCCGCTGTCCATCGGAAAACAAACAAACGTGCAAGTGAATATGAGCCTGGTGAGTGGGTATGGTTCGTCCTCTGGTTGCGCAGCAGCCAGAAAGGGACGGAAAAAGATCCAAAAAAAAAAAAAAAAAAAGGCGGGGGCAGTACGAAAAGCGCCGACAGAGAATATTGACAAAGTCCCCCAGCCAAGAAACGAAGCTGCCTAAGTGTAGCCACAAGCGGCCTGACATTGGCTTTTGGTAGCATTGGTGTCGCTGGAAAGGACACAGACGTTATCACGGCAGATGTAGCCTTGCTGGGGCGTGCAAAGGTTGAGGCAATCGCCGTAAGAGAGGCCATTGGAACTGGGTTGGCAGGTGTTGTCGATGCAGCGAAAGCCGATTGAGGGGCCGACATTGCAATTGCAGGCCCAGGTAGCAAAACCTGACTTGCAACTGACGGGCACAAGCAGTTCGTTGTAGCCATACCCAACCAGCTGCTCGCAGGCGGTGCTGTTCCAGGTCGCGAGTGTGTACTGCCAGCGTCCCATGACCATCTGAATGCAGTAGGCCTCATCCTCGGTCATGTTTGAGTAGTAGCCACAGCCAACCTTGGCACAGCCCTCTTCGAGCGTGCGTCCCGTCATATCGTAGATCCCTCGGGTCTTGTTGTCCCACATCATGGTGGGGCAATCGTCCGAAGATGCTTTGCCCAATCCATCGACCAGGCCCAAGAGGCCCAGCACCAGTCCACAGGCCAGAGCCATCCTGACATGAAACCGCGTTGTCCCAGTCGAGGCCATGGTGCCGAGCCAATGCCAACGAGGCAGTTGGATGCGGCGCCGTCGCAATTAT